GTAGGTTGCGGCAAAGTGTACAATTCTGCCGTGTATGTAGTCGTTTATTTAAAAAAATCAATTTGGCAGTTTTCCCCAGTTAAATGCAAGAACATGATTTAGAGTCAACTTTACGTCAAGTTACACGCAAAATAAGTCAAATATACATTTTATATTATTTGGTCCGTAGATTCATTAGTATGTACGCGGTTTTATGGCATGTAAAAGCAAACGTTTGACCTTGTCCCGTTACTGCAAAGTTATTCCACTCGTTGAAAGGTTAAAAAAGGTCATTGGTAAATCCAGCGTGGTTTTCAAAGTAACTACTAAACTATGAATAATGCAATTTCCTTAGGGTATGTCTAGAAATGTATTATAAGCTCGCCATGTTTTTTATTATTATTAAAGAATCACTCGTTATTAAGTTATGCATATTATTAAAGTTTCCATAATATGTAATATTTACAACAGCAGCAACATGGTAGATACAATAAATGTTAGAGATGTTTGAGCTGTTTTCTTATTTTCAGATACAATCACAGTGATGATTGTATACTATGTTGATGTTATATGCCTTAATACTGTCACAGCGAGATGATTGTTTTACATCAATAGCTGACCTTTGGCATCACAGAAACCTGCCTCCACTATGTCACTTTCTCTCGGCCTTTTGTAGTCAATGGTCATGTGAAATGTGACTCCCTGTGGTAGCGGCGAAAACCCATAATATTTTATGTGAATAAACACCGTGTAAACTATAACATTAGTCTATATGGTCAATTAAACCACATATCCCAAATTAATTCGATCAAAGAATATATGTACCAAGTTTCATGCTTCTAACCAAACGTGCACAATTAAACAAAACTGATCACCTGTCCCGCTACCTAAACCTTATTGTTTTGTTTACATATATTTATTTTGAATCAATTTCCAGTGTCTCCTGTATACGTGCTTAAAAAATGTATTTGGAATTTAGATTACGCACGTAGAAAAGTAAATTCATCATATACCCCTTTATATTCCAATATACATTCTGAACAGAGGTTTAATTACTTTAGTGGTTTATTTGACTGTAGTGGCGCTGTTTACGATTTTCACTTAGCTGTCGAGTTAGAATCTATGTTGACCGAGGTGGATGATATTTTGCCAGATGTTGATTATGAGCTTGAATTGATTAACTACCCAATTAGCACGGAGGAAATTATGCTAGGCCTAGCCAGTCTTAAAGGGGGCAAGTTTAGGGGATCAGATGACCTGCTTGGTGATTTTTTTAAGACAACAAGTGATTTTATTATCCCCTATCGTCATGTACTTTTTAATAAAATGTGGGAAAAAAGTGTCTTCCCTGAGCAGTGGGCGGGAGCTATTATTGTTCCTTTGTATAAGCATGAGTCTCCAAACAGTCTGGAGAATTATAGGGGTATTTCACTGCTCAGCATTTTCAGTAAAATTTTCACAGGTATTTTAAATAGACGCCTAGTTAATTGGTCAGCTGCTCTTGATAAAATTACAGAGGGTCAAGCCGGGTTTCGTAAAGGCTATTCAACAATAGATAATATATTTATTTTGCAGGCAATCATTTAAAAGTATATTACCAGAAGGAAAGGGAAATTCTATTGTGCCTTTATTGATTTTTCCAAAGCCTTTGACACTGTAGAGCGTCAAAGTACAAAGACTTTGGTATATTCTATTAAAGGGTGGTATCAGGGGGAAATGTTCAAAATGTTATTTAATAATTATAGTAATGTCAAAGCATGTGTGAAATCTATAGATGGTTTCACAAAATTCTTTGACTGTCCCGTTGGTGTTAGACAGGGGTGCATTCTGAGCCCTTTCCTTTTTTTCGTTTTTTTATAAATGAGTTGGCTTCTCATTTGCAGACATCAGGGCAGAGGGGGGTTCAGTTATCTCCCGATCTCGTGGAAATTCTCTGTTTATTATTTCCAGACGATGTTGTTTTATTTTCTGATTCGATTTTTGGGCTACAGAGGCTGTTGAATAGCTTAAGTGAATACTGTAATCTTTGGAAAATGTCTGTCAATTGTTATTTGGGAGTGTTGTTTTCCTGTCGGTTAAATTGGTCCAGTGCTACTAAAATACTCACCCACCAGGCTAAAAAGTCGTCAATGTGTTTACGCAAGCGCGTCAGTAAATTAGGCCCCTTGCCCTATGAACATTTCTTCAATTTTTGATACTATGATTTCCCCTATTTTAACTTACGGGTCTGAAATTTTGGGTCGCCATGGTTATGAAACGCTTGAACGCGTCCAGCACCTTGCATGTAGAATGTTCTTGAATGATTCCCAAAATGCACATAATTGTGCAGTATTAGGGGAATGTGGGCGTTACAAAATTTTCCTTAGCACGGCAAAAAGATGAGCCCGAGCGTTATTTGTTTGCTATTTCTATTCCCTATCATAGGTTTATGTTATCCCGTTTTCGTTGTTCTTCTCATTGTCTTAGGATAGAAACCGACAGGAGAAATGATATTCCAAGTTATGAACGCCTTTGCCCATTTTGTGAAAACGTAGAAATTGAAGATGAATTACACTTTTTGTTGATTTGTCCCTTCTTTGATGAATTTTGGAAAACATACATCCCTAGATATTATTTTACGCCGCCCTCACATAAGACGCTTCTAACCTTGTTATTGACTGAAGACAGAAATGAATTCAAATCTCTTGCAGCCTTCCTTTTTCATTCACTTAAATTACGTTATGGAATTTATAAACACAGTGTGTGACATTACTGTTTTTGTTACTTTATATTTTATTCATAGTTTATGTATTTTGGGCCACAGGCCTTTGATTGCAATAAAGACCATCACATAAAAAAATGTATTTTTTATTTATTTTCAAAGTGTTTATTACTTGACATGTGCCAATGGTAAATCTTAATTAGGTCATGAAATAGAATTGATACAAGTAATGATTGGAACTAACATTCAATTCTAGCGTGTTTACATGCTTGCATTAAGTTTACATGGAAAAGTTTTTGAATGCTTGAACAGCGCCGCTATATTTTAACTTAAATATCTAGTCAGCAAACCTTTAGATAGTGGTTTCAGGGAAATGTTTACAGTTACGTAAGTGCATGCAACTGAATACACCAACGGCAAGATTTACAAGCGTAATCCCAATTCAGATTTACTATTCAACAAGTTTCTTTTGGGGGAATATTGTATATATGATTCTAAGTGAACTGCTACTGAGTTTTCGATAATATATTCACCGACAGCGCCCTCTCTTGTTCGTCAATGCAACCCGGTTGTTTTATTAGGTTTTACATACAGTTGAACTGCTCCAACACGTAAGACAACGTTTGCTACAAAATGATTCGTCTACGTTTAACACTAATCTACAATGAATATAATAAATAATATTCCAAAATTTAATTTTAGAAGAATGACGTCATTTTCTATGGCCAATAATCACATAGATGCATTAACTGATAACGATACAGCGAACATAAAACACGTTCAAAATAATTAAATCGTCAACTAGTTATTTATTTCCAAGTTTAAAATAATGTTTTCTCACAGATCTACAGAATCAAAAAAAAATATACAGAAAACAACACTAATACAACTACATGTATGTCGTTTCTAGCAGCTGCTGCCTATTTAAACTAATTAATGCTAGTCATTAATTTAGCAAGTTCTTCATTGATTACATTATGCTCAGCATGTCATCAGTTGTTGTCACGACGACTACGTAGAAACTCTCTTCCAAAGTCAGCAGAAGTACCAGCAACTGTTTCCTGCCAAAATAGTGTAGTAATAAACAATGAACTGAACAGTTTAACCAAACGGTTGTTATTATTATGACGGTTTAGGATAAATGCAGGTTATTCCTATGTTATCTACTACATGTGTGGAGATGATATTAAGACATCACAATCATAACATAACATAAGGTAAAGTAATATCACATCACAACACAACACAATTTCACAGTGG